TGTATGTTACTCTTATTCTTACCAGAAATGTAAAAAAAAATCGAGCAATTATTGAGAATATGTTGAGTATGCCGGAGGGCTTCACGTAAAGTACCCATAAATTGCAAAGAAGGTTTTTCAAAATCTCAAAGCTTTGACTCGAGCCAGATGGACTAGGGTTTCTTCAATTTGGAAAAAAATTCAATGCATTGTTTAGCCTTTGCATTTGTTAGGTGGTGTTCAAACATGGACAAACAGACAGACGGGCGTTTGGAAAAACAACCTTTTTGGTATCAGGAGTATCTCTGTACTACGGATATACGTACGTATACGAGAAAGTACAGTAGTGGCGCTGCAGAATGGCTCTGACTTTTTCGTACAAATTAGTTTTCTAATTTCCTTCGTGTGGGCTAGCTTTTCGATCTTTCTCCCATTCTCGTGGCGTTTGCCATCTATCGCCGCCCTAAAAAGCTTTTTTTTTCCCTTTTCTTTGAAAACGTCCGTCTATCCACCCGACCGTCTGACCGTCCGTCCGTCCGTTCGTTTGTGAACACCACTAGCGGGTTAACCATAAGTAGGATTTTTTTCCAAATTGAAGAAACCACTATCCATCTGGCAAGAGTCGAAGCTTTGAGTTTTTGAAAAACATTCTTTAAAATTTGGGGGATTTTACATGAAGCCCTCCGAACATAGTTAAAATTTTTAGCTTTTTTAAAATTTTTAAAATCTAGCTTTGCGTGTTGCGACTCCCGGATCAATTCCCGGATAAGAAGGAAAACACACACACACACACATACCACTGTCATATTCCAGTTCTAATAGCTGATTAGTAATATGAAAGCTTCTTGTGGGTAGAGAACACCAAATACATATTTTTAAAATTCTATACCTCTTCTTTACAATCCGCTCACTTGGAACAATTCGTAAATGGTATACAAGATGTAAGTAACAATTAAGAGAACCTAATGGGTAAATCTGGAGTATGCTGTCGCTTTAGTCTATAAACATGTTCACTGTTGTCCAACACGGTCACTGATTGATTGTTGATTCGGGTAGTCGCTCAGTCTCGTCCGATGCCTCTTACTTCGCTCGGTATCTCTGCCATAGGCGAGATGTTCGAATCTTTGTACAAATTAATGTTGGTGACGAAACACGGTGCGTTACATGAATATCTCATTGTTTGTGTTTCGAACCTAGGTTTGACTTGCTAGCTGTGCCCCATAGTTCTATGCCGTAAGTACATGTTAGCTTTATTATTGCTTTGTACAGTAATATTTTGTTGTATAAGGGGAGCTTAGATCTTCGATTAAGCAGCCATGATATTTTGCTTACTTTCATGTGTGATACTTTCCTCATTTTTATGATATGGGGTTTCCAGGTTAAGATGCCAAACAGAGGGCGTAAGATACTGCGATCTGTTTACCATAGGCATCCCAAGCTCGCCCTCATCAGTCTGGGACGCCATGGTATAGCCACAGTCCGAGGGGCTGGAGTGTCAGATAAAGCCTACGTGCGAGGAAACAAAATAATTGTGTGCGTCACAGAGCTAGTCGGCCAGTCCTGTTTCTATTACGAGCGTCATGTGACCTTGGTCACCACGCATGTCCCCAGACCATGGCAGGCACCGCCAATAATTTCTCGGGAAACATCGCATCAGTGTAACTTCAGTATCTAATATATTATATTATTTAAATCAAGCAATATTTTTAAAGTCGCTTCACAACTTGGTCGTATTGCGACCATTATGATTGTTTTAACTGTAGGCACGGGCGGATCCTGTCGATCATTTTTTGGGGGAGGGGCCATCGTAGATTTTTGCTTAATAATAAACGTATTTAGTTTTATATTGTATATTATTTATGTACTGTAGACATACTAAACAATATTATTGTTTAAACAATTACATAATTCGAATACAAATTAATATTTAAATAAATTTTGCCAAATTAAAGAAGGTAAATGAAAACTCCAGGCTTTTTCAGGGGGTATAGCCTCCCTGGATCCGAAAGAGACTGTAGAGAGAACACATAAGGACAACACGAACACACACAAACATTCATGCCCAGGGCGGGTTTCGAACACACGACCCTTCGAGCCGAGGCTGCTATAACCCTTCAGCCATAGTAACCTCGGATATCGAGGCCGGCTAAGCAATAGTATTGTATCAATTATACGAAATACATGTTTAAGCCTCTTGGTACGTTTCAAATAAATCGGAAATGAACTACTAATAGAAAACCTAAATATTTGTATTAGATCGTCTGAAAAAAAAAATTGAAGATACTAAAAGCGAATTGTGCCAAAATCTTCACTCTAGGTCAATCAGCATCAAATATAAAAAAACAATTTATTGTTCCCAAAGAACAAACTACGTTCACCATAGATAAACTCTCCAATAAGCGTACAAATTAAAAATAAAGGTTCTTTACACAATCACACATTCCATTAAACAATAACGTTTTACGAATTCAAAATCCAAAAATGTTGTAAAAATATTGTTTTCAAATTACCTATATTTAACCCAAAATTCTGTAATAACAACTCACATTGTCGAAACATATTGTATGATCTTATTTCATGATTTGTCTTTAAACAACAGATTTCATTAAAGACAAAACTCTCTTGTCAACATTGAAATTGTAAGAAGACGCCAAAAAATGTTGAACTTTTGCAGCTTTCAAAAAATCAGGGATTTCAACGAAAACCAGAGGACGCTATTAGAGGGCAAATTCAATGACAAAAATTGGAGCCATTTTTGAGGAAATTTTGAAAATTCTTTTTAGTTTTCAAGTAAAGTACCCCCCAAAATCAACATACATCCGTTTTAAAGTCTCATGGCCTCGAGTTCCTTTTAACCAATCAGGGAATATCAATTTTGGAGAAAATGAATTGAACTTCTTAGTCGCTAGTGTTTACCACAGACATCTCATCTGTGACAGCTCTTGCTGCAGACACTTCCCTGCAGTGGACTAGTGGTACGTAATACCTATACAATGCAATTTAACACACTTATCTTTCACACGACCGAGTGTTTTATTATTCAAAACTTATCACAACATAAACTGTGTAGGCATATGTTAATAATGACCTTACACTTCTGAGGAATTTGCATAGTGTTTGTAATAATATCTCGACCGCACCTCTCCCGGTTTGACTACTGATCGCGTTGCCAAAGGAAAACATCCACAATAAAATGTTCGTTACAATACTGTGAGTCCCTAGCAATTTTGTTTTGTTTTCTCGAAAAATTTGCTGTCTTCTTGCTCTACTCGAATTAAGCTGGTTGTTTCGTTGAGCATGAGCTGAAGTATCATATTGCTAGCTCCATTCTATCAAGGGGGGGGGGAGGGTGTATTTTGGTCTTAAGTAGGCCGACTGAATTGCTTTAAATGTGTATAATTAAAACATAATATATAAATAATATAATAAAGTTATGGATTTACTCGAACATCCCCAGTGACAAATGTTTGTCTGTATTGTAATGTCAGAAATCGTTCAATTTCACATTTCAATTTTTTTTTAATTGGTTGAAAATAAAACAAATTCTATTCTCCATTCGTTGAAAAGGAAATTAATACTGTATTCTATTGGCTGAAAGGAAATTGATTTCTTAAATCATTGGTTGAAAAGGAAATTCATTCCATTTGCCATTGGTTGAAAAGGAAATTGATTCCTTCCTCCGTATTATTTACCATTTCAATTGCATATTTTTTATTAGTTAAGGAAGATTTTAGTATCATTTCTAGTGGTGCTATAGAATGGCACAGACCTTTTCTTACTAATTAATTTTCCAATTTATTTGGTCTGGGCTAGCTTTTCCGACTTGTCACATACATTTGCCAGCTGCCATCTGTCGCCTCCCAAAGTATATTTTTTCTCAAATTTTGGATTTTCTAATGGTACAACCGAAATATTACTTTAAGAATATTACAAAAACTTTGGAGCCGTTTTTAAAAAAAATGGCGTTTAAGCCTTACTATAAATGCGATATTTAAAGCCCTTCTCCACAGAAGATCTTTGAGTTTTTGGAAAACTTCATTGGAAGTAATTTGAAGCACTTTTAGTTACAAATGCAGTAATGTATATACGTGTATTCTTCTAGTGTTTTGCGAATATCTCGAAAAGAATTAGGTAATCCATAAAAATGAATTTAATATTTCCGGAAACCTCCTACCAAATGCTGTTTTCATTAGTCCCGTTAGCGTAGTGACTGTTTTATGCTGAGGTCGCAATTTCCTACGTCGACTTGCAGTGGGTTTCCCGCTCCAGGTATCTCCCCCAGGGGACAAGGGTCATGGTGGTGTAGTGCATGTAACTACGTGTAAGGGGAAAGGACAGGACAAAGGTAGAACGAGAAAACGGGCGCAGTTCGGGGTCCGTTTGACAGGGTACTCCCCCGGTCTTTGGCTGGTATTGATCCCCGACACCACTGAAAGCTGCCGATCAGAGCAGCCGAACGCTAGAATTCTGCTGTAAACAGCGGCTGAGTGCGATCTAGTTACGTAGTTAGTTTCGAAAAACCGCCACCGTCGAGTGTCGAACCGGACCTCCCGATCAGAGATGTCGTAGAGGCTGTGATTTTCTGGCTCTAATCTACTCAGCATTTGAATTCCTCGGTGTTTCCCGCCTCTGCCACCGCGGCTCGCCGCTCCCGCGTGGGCACAGGGGTCCTCTTTGTTTCCCGCCCTCTCCGCCACCACCACCGCCGCCACTTGTTCCTCTGGTCCACGCGACGCGCTTCCGTCAGCCGTCCGCGCCCCACCCCTCCCCTACCGACGGTTCCCCCTCCGCCGCTCCGCGACGCGCCTCGCCACGCCGCGCAGCGCCGCCAGCGGCAGCCAGGCAGGCAGGCAGTCGGTCGGGGCGAGTCGGGGCTTGACATGCGCTGGGTGAGCGCCGCCGTAGCGGGCCCCTCAACATTCCAGCGCGGCGCGTTGCGCCTCGTGGCTGTTCCGTTGCACCGAGCGCCCCCGCGCGGCATGCGCGACTGGCAGTGACCCGTCCCCCGCCGCGCTCGCGAGATGCTGCCCCGGCGCCGGAAGAAAGTCCTCCCAGTCGTCCCCGCCCGTCCCGGTGCCCCGAAGGCCGACGCGAGGCGCCGCGACGCGCCGCTGCACGCGAAGCGGCGGCGCGACGGCGAGCGTACCTGAGCGTACGTGTGTGTGTGTATGGATGTGTGCGTCCGGACGGCGATAGTGCACGTGACAGCTCATGTTTCGCTTCGAAGGAGTCACCTGAGCCCCCTCCAAGCGTAAGAGGGCGGACCGTTTTCACGTGGCTCGTCCGCGTCTTTGTGTGTCTCGTACGGTTAAATACGTCATCACCCGAAGAAAGCCGTTTGGTTGTGAAGTGTTACGATTGGTTTTCGCGCGTGCGAAAGCCCGCAGCATACGCAACGTGCATGACAGTGTGTGGTGCATCGCCGTTTGGGATTGTCCCCGCAGCTATTTACCTTCCCGAGACATACATGACGTAATCGCGTGGGCTGTTGTCGCGTGTCCACGCGGGTGCGTCCGGCGCGCATTGATTTTCGTGTGAACGAGTGTTGATTGTCGCCGTTTGGGGTCTGCGTGGGGAGGGTTGGAGAGAGAGCCATCTCCTCGCCCCGCCCCGCCGGCGTGGCGCGACGAGGTGGAATGCGCGCGCGGGCGGAGAGCGCGTGTCTCCGCAGCATCCCGTGGTGCGTGGGCGTGGGTTAGACGCCCGACGTCCGTCGCGTGGAGCGGCGTCGGAATGGACGCGGTCGGCCCCAACGCCACCGCCCTCGCCGCCGCCGCCGCCGCCGCCGCCGACAACGCCACCGACGCCGCGTCGCCGCCCATGCAGCTGAATGTGGTGTACACGGTGTTCGAGGTGCTGGTGGCGGTGGCGGCGGTGGTGGGCAACGCGCTGGTGATGCTGGTGTTCCACCGCGAGCGCCGGCTGCGGCGGCGCACCAACTACTACATCGTGTCGCTGGCGGCCGCCGACTTCCTGGTCGGGCTGCTGGGCATCCCGTTCGCCATCCTGGCCAGCGTGGGGCTGCCGCGCGACCTGCACGCCTGCCTCTTCACCGTGTCGCTGCTCGTCGTGCTGTGCACCATATCCATCTTCTGCCTGGTGGCTGTGTCGGTGGACCGCTACTGGGCCATCCTGCACCCCATGGGCTACTCGCGGAACGTGCGCACCAAGACGGCTATAGGTGAGTCTCTGCGCCTCACGTTTCACCTCGTGAATGACGTGCAGGATTTGCTTGCCCGGAGAGTGCGATTAATGAAGATTTCAGGAGGACAATCTTGAAAAACTATACGCACATGATGTCGTAGGCTTCCGCGGCCAGAGTCATGATCTGGGCTGTCCGGGTGTCGACGCGGCGTCACCCGGACAGCCCAGATCGCTATACGCACATTTTTTTCTCTATCCATTCGGATGCATCCGGTTACGAAGTACTGATACATTGTCATATGAAATAGATCGGAAAGACTGTACTATCATTTTTTTTTACATAATGCATAGTCTGTAATTGGGAAAAATATTTAACAATTGCTCCTATCAAATGAGAAGCATGTCTGACCCATATTTTAATTTGACAGAGGATTTGGCCCTCCCTTGGCGACTGTAATTGAATAACCAGACGTGTTGGTTTTACCCAACACATATTAATGAAATTGATGGACAGTACATGCTTTGTGCCTAAGCCGAATGATCAAGATTAATCATATGCGTATGAAAGGCGTAATTTAGGAAATGTTTGTGCTTTATTTTTAAAATCTCCTTGTATCTATCATATGCTAAGAGTCATTAGGAAATGTCAGTGAACTATTAACGTTTCACTTATTGATTATTTTCTGAATATCGTAATCAACGTTTCAAACACAGTGACTGTAAGATCGTGAAATAAAATATTGTCAATTTTGCTTGGAATGCTGCATAAAGTGTTATAGATACTAAAATCGTACATTTAGTACAAATGTGACAACATCCTACTCTCTTCTGAAATACACCAATATTAAGGATGTGAAGCTGTTCAACAAAACATACTTTCTCTACGGTATTTGCATTTTTTTTTTATTTTTTGTTCTTAAGACGTATGCTTTTGGAATCTGCAGGACACAAATAATTAACGATTCTCTGTCGAAACTCACGTGTCAGCGAGCGGTTCGGAACATGATAACATTTTTGCTCAGTACGTGAACGTATGACAGGATGTACATTCCATTTAGACCAGATTACTTTTTCTGATGGCCTCCGTGCGAGCTCTTTTCCCGGGGTTCACATAACCTTAAATTGGACGTGGTCACGGGAGCGAGCAGCCTCCCACGGGACGAGGGGAGGGGAAGAGGAAGGCGGCGGGGAAGAACCCCGTTCCGGTGGTTGGAGCGACTGTGTTGCGTCTGAGCCGCAATGTTTTGCTGAAACACGTCAAAGCTGACGAGCGGCCAACTCTCGATTTTCGTGTTTTCAGAGGTTTTACCGTTTCGTCTACAATGGGCACTTATATTATTAACGCTTTCAATGACAATAAAGGAGGAGGTTCAGGTTTCCTTAGGATGTCGTCAGTGATGTGACAGACGCTAAACAGTTTTGGTGTGAAAAACTGTTTGATTGTAATCGATTGAAAGAAAATTAAACAATGCCGTTGACATAACAGTAAAACCGTTGTGCTTGCTTTGGTCGGTCCGCAGAAGCTTAAACATAAAAAATACGAAGTGGTTTTTGATCGCAGAATCTGTTACTAGAAAAATCCGAGTGTATCTGACGTAAATTAAAGCGATTAAAAAATACGCGCACAATATTACCTCCGTGTTAATATTTGTTTGCCATTTGTATCATCTTGAATTGTACCATATGCTGCAAAGAGTCGTTTCTTTCAAGTGCCCAAATTCATGTTTTCAAAATATTCATTTTTTAAACACTTTATGGAAATGTCTTGAGTTGTCTTAGGTGGGAACTCTTCTTTTTTCGTAGAAAACATGGAACCACTGGCGCCAAGTAACACGCAAATATTTATGTTTCCAGATTTGCTCAAACATGTTTTAAATGGAAAACTCAAATAGACCGGAGCGTGTGGAGAAGTGAATTACGTATTCTATGAAGAATCAGTTAACATGATTGATGATTCCAGGAAAGGAACATACTAAATGAAAACGGTTGATTTTATTTTCAATGTATTATTTGGGTTATGTAATTTCTGGAACATTTCTGTTCTGGAAAAAGAAATCGCTCAAGAATTGTTGGATGTAATACGAAAGGAACAGATATTCGATAAAACAATTGCCACTTAATTCTATGAGTGATTCGATTTGTACAATCAATTGGGAAATTAGTTGCGCCGGTTTTCGCCTGATTATTAAATGAAATATGCTGTTAGGTGTCTTGTTATTAAATGTACTAGTATTATCAGTCTACATAACATTAGTATACATGCATGCATTGGTTACAATTATCTTCGAGGAAATACTACACGACACAATGAAATTATAGAATATGCACTGATCGCATTCTGAAATTCAAGTAGGCCTATAGTAAGTTGATAAAGAATCTGTAGTGAGTAAACTCTGTAAGTGACAGGTAGTGTTTCAAAAACGCACATGGTTTGCGTAAACATGTCGTGCATAAAATGCAGTACTCTGTACCTGGACATTTCCTGTGAATCTCTGTGCTTTGCAAATGCTTTTTGGTGGCCTCCGCATTGTCTTCTTCGAAGTTAGTCGGTGGAATGAAAGTATGACTTGTGTTCTGACCACGAGAACACCACAGTAAATATCATTTCTGACAATTTGTTGTTCCTGCAGTTGTTTCCTGAGAAGGATTCCGCGAATGAGAGTTGCGCACGCCCAGACAGCTGACCACGTGATGGAAGTGGGTGATATCAGGAAGAAATGCCAGTATTGAGATCGGAAATGAGACCTAGAAAGAAATATCGAAGTAATAATACGAATGTGCGAATAGAATAATTAAAATACCTAAGCTCACAGTAAACTAAAACCTTTCTCTCTAATAACTCTTTCTTTGATTGATTGATCCATTCATTCATTCATTCCCCCTATCGTTCTCGCACTTTCTTTTTCATGACTTATCTTTGTCTCTTGATTCAGCCTAAGACAAAGTTCCTTCTGAGATTGTTCGCTCTTATATGGCCTGTTTCATATACGTTTGCAATGCGTCGTATCTTCACATCTGCAGCTCGTTTTCGTGCTCTGGATTTCGTTGTTCGGGCGGGCCCTCGCCTTTCGTTCGGGAGATAGTGTCTTCGCCCGTCTCATTTCCGCCCTCTCGTCTCTCTCTCCCTTCGATAACGCCGCCTCCACCCACATCCCGCGTGTGTCGCTTGCCCGTCAGAAGTTCGTCCCGCCGCCGCGTCGCGTCGCGTCTCTCAAAGGGAAGGCTGCACGCAGATGTTTGCCTTTTTTGCCGATTCGATTCCATTTCCTCGTCCTGTGTCAGTGATGGAGATGGAGAGAGGCGGGAGGGACCTTGAAGGATCGCTGTGAGCTATATATCTTGAGACAGTCCGGGCCCCAACTCCGAAGTGACACTGAGAGAAGAGTCCCCTTAAACAGTCGAATGGTATTAGCAAATCAACGAATCAATTTTGTGGTTCTTCGCTTTCGAGGTGGAGTCAGCGCGGTTCTTTTTCAGAGTCTGATAATGTTCTCTTACGTACAACAATGTTTTAACAAATATTACACTTCTAATTGTTTAGCATTTGCGTCCTTTATACTTGAATTCGATGTTAATTTGCAGAGAGGAGTGTGTTTTTATTATTTCTTTTGATCGATCTAAATCAAGTTTTTTGTGCTATAAATTTGTATACATTTTTATTTTAAATATACATATAAATATACTAAATAATTGGAAACCGCTACAAAAAAATAAGGTAACAACACAACGTTTATCCATTTATCAGATTCCGTAACCTGTTTGAATTGCAATTATATTATCGCCGTGAAGGGGCCCGCGTACACTTTCGTCGTAGAAAAGAGCATGGAGAAAAGTCAGTAATATTTTTCCCGAACAAAAAGAGGATACTTACGAACGAGAGAAGTACCGCTACATTCGCTGCACTGTACGGGCTGTACTGCAGCATACTGTACGTACCATTGCGATCGGTGCTTGTTGGCCAGTTCTTCCCCTTTCCCTTCCCTTTCGTCCATCTTTTAACTTTCTCCTCAAATCCTTTTTCACTCCAGTTTCCTTTCTAAAGGCGTCGCAGCGGAGCGGCAAGCGGCATCTGCTCCGTGGCTCGCTGCCCTCCGCCGCTAAGCCCTCAGCGAGGGCCGACCCCCGGTGTCCTTGCTCGTCCGCGTAGCGCCGTTATGTGGCAACGCCTCGCACCCTCGCCGCCCCCGCCGCCCCCGCGGACCCGCCCCAACCGCTGAGTTGCCAAACGGGCGGGTGCAGAGAGCGCCGCCCTCGCCATCACAGCCACTCGGGCTACCTGCTACTCAAAGACGCCGCACCGCATCATACGCTGCTCGCGCGGTCAGTCGGAAGGGAGGGGGGGTGCAAAGTAGATGGACAGATACACGTGTTCGCTGGCCAGTGGGACAGTGCGGGCTGTTGATGTCTGTAGCGTTCCCTCTCCCCCCTCTGTCTCTTTCTTTTTTCACGGTCAAGTTTTAAAGAGAGAGACTCAAGGGGTTACCCAGACGTTTTTATATATTTGTAAGGCTCAATGTTCAAATTAAATTTATCGATTAGGCTTGGGATTAATTTAGAAGTGTGTACTGTAAACTCAATGAAACGTGCACATGTTGGTCTAATACACAATTTTTTAAACATTTTTTTAACTTATTGATTGACTTTGAAATATTATATTTTTTCCATTTCCTTCATTAAATATTTTTGTTCTGCATTAACTAATATGAATTTTGGAAAGACGAACCCTTCTGAATAGTGTAGAATGCTTCATATTCCGATGCATGCATCAGAGTATTGACTAATTTCACTATTTGACCATTCAAAGTTTCAAAATATTTCAAAGATCTTTTTTGTTGCTTAACAAAAATTTCATCAAACATGGAAGGTAAAAACAATCTGCGAGCACTGCCGTTCGTGTCAATCCATCGGAGGATAATAGGTGGAGGATAATCGGAGGATTATAGCTGGAGAGGACTTGAATAGGCGGCCCTTCGAACGCTGCCAGAGCGCCCTTCTTCTCTGTTTCGATATTCACTTCCCTGTCTCTAGAAATGGGGA